TTTTGTAGGCAACCCTTTAGAGAAACTGCACTTTTCTTTCTCCTCTTCTACCCACTCAGCCTCGACAGCAATTCGGTCATACTACGCCAATATTTGTGAGGAGCTTCTGAAAAGATTGTTTAAAGAAACATTTGAAGACTCCTCTGCTTTTCCACCTTGCAGCTGCACACTTGTGTGTCAACTCCTGAAGAGAGAAAGCGAAGTGTGCAAGTCCTGCGTCTTTTTTATGCCATCCCAAATATTTTCCTTTGCCAAACATTCGTTTTCACTGAGACTGCAGAGCTAATGAGAAAGTCCCATCTAGTATAAAAGCTGTTTCCCATTTCTTATGAGATCAATGGAAAGAACTGATTATTCATCAAACAAAACTGTGTTGAGTTTTCTTATGTCGGAGCAACGACGGTGCCTTTTGCTTATATGCTCTCTTGTTCTAAACTAGAGCTCAGACTTTACATGTGCCGCCAGGAGTTCCGGTGCTGCCATACTCTATGCACGTGCGTGTTGGTAAGAGTATATGTGTGTCTATGTGGGTGTACTTCCCCACTATGAGAGCGAGATGAAAGACTGCTGCTCCTGTGAGTCACTAGCTGCTGTCTCGCTCCTAAATGGCCCTGAATAGTCACTCAGCGCAGTGATGATCGGCTCTGCCTACTATTTAGATACTCACAGAAATGTGAGGACTGCACCAAAAAAGAGCCAAAAGATGAAAGGCATGGAAGGACACACATACAGAAAATTTACCAATATACTTATCAGAGAGCAAGAAAGTCTGGCAAAACGTGAAGCATCCGTAAACCTGGGCTTGGAAAAGCAATAACTAAGATAAAATCTGCACAATATTTCATTGACAGTGGTAGAAATTTACATTTTTAAAAATGCTTTTATGCAAGGTATACACACACACATCTATGTATATGTGTGTAAGGACCTCCATCGACTTCTATTTATTTTAGTGACTCTACTATGCCTAACTCAAACCATAACCAATGGGGTTCTTTTCCTAACCCAAATGAAAACCTATTCACACCATACGTCTAAAACCAAATTTAGGGTGCTTAGCATTGTGTGGACCAGCAACATGTCCCCACAGGGTGGAAATGTCCACACGCACACACACATATACATGTGTGCATGCTTTTCTACCCTCCAGGCAACATGAGTGATGTGTTTTTCTTTTCTTGCAACCACTGAGTTGATGTAACTTTACTTCGTCACTGCAGTTTAATGGCTACATACCTCTGTAGTTAGATGGATTAATAGATGCAACTCAACTATGGACTAGATTTTCAAGCCCTGTGGGTGAGATATTAACAGCACGACGATTTGTAAAACACATGCAGCTTCACTTTAGTTGTAACAAACGTAGTGCACAGCTGTGGTTAAACATTTACAGAATGACACAAACATCAGTCGTCTCAAGGTTTTCTTAGAATGACGGATTGCATAAACTTCATGTTATTTAGGGTGACCCACCACCACCTCTCCCCCACCCAATTGTGCATTCCAGCCACAAAAGGACCTGCTGATTTTATTTTGGTTTACACTGCCGAGAGTGCTGGCGAGGACAAGGCTGGCCATTCCTCTGGCTGAATTACAATATCAGACTGGATGCTTTAAAACCAAGGTGGTTCCTGAAATCATTGCTTTCCCTTTGTTAACCCTGCACATTTTTGCTGCCAGTAAGTTTGCATCAAAGTAGATTGAGGCATGGGATTGGAACTCCATAAGAGTGAGTGCATCTATAGCACGGAGAAGACTTCTGTAGGATGCCCAAATTCCAAAAGCAGCAGCAAAGAAGCCTTCTTCAAGACAAACATCAGGAACAAAGTGATGTTCTGCTTAAGGTCTGCCATTAGTCCTTTGGGGGGCGCTGTGTGTGTGTGTGTGTGTGTGGTGGTGGTGGTGGTGGTGGTGGTGGTGGTGGTGGGGGGGGGGGGGTACTCCAGGAGGATGGGGTACCAGGCCCTCTGATACAGGCTGTTGGGTCCCTGTATGACCGGTGTCAGAGCTTGGCACGCAGTAAGTCGAGCTCGTTAACGGTGAGAGTTGGACTCCGCCAAGGCTGCCCTTTATCACCGGTTCTGTTCCTAACTTTTCTGGACAGGATTTCTAGGGGCAGCCAAGATGTTGAGGGGATCTGTTTTGGTGGCCTGAGGATCAGGTCTCTTGTACTTAAATAAATGTAAATGGTCTACATTGACTGATTTTAATAGAATTATTGAATTTACCAAAACAGGCTTTAACTGGATCTAACTGGGGTTCATTTATTTTCATCTAACTGGAACTCTTTTCACTTTAATGTTTCCTGAAATTACATTATTTTAAATAGATTTCTTTCTGAACTACATTGACCTGAATTGGTTTAACCCTATGAAGGATTAAATATAACTTATTGATATTTTAAAATAATTTCCCTGAACCAGTATGTGCTAAAATGACCCTTTACAGTGTTATAGTCACTCAGCCCCCGCTGCTTGCTGTAGCTAGAATACCACACTACCCCAAAGTCACGTATCTCGTGTGAATCAGTAGCACTTTACGGCAATCCATGTTTACACCTCAGACTAGACGAGTTATACCTGGTTATTGCAACATCTTCATCATGGCGAAGCCTCAGAAGAAACAAAGAAAACATCTATTTTATGTTGCTAAAGAAATGAAACATCTGATCACAATAGAAGTCAAACAGGGTCAAACATCAGGAGGTTTCTGAATCTCAAGAGCTTGGATTTGGATGCAGACCTAACAATGATCTTATTGCGCTTGTAGGTACGACTTAAAAATGTTTGTTTGTGCATGTTTTAGCGTTTCCCGGGTTTGTAATTATTTCTAAACATGTTTGTGAGGCAGTAGTGATCACGTCCCACTCCGTCACCGACCGTACACTCGCCCTAAGACCCACGAGCTCTCTTCTTACAGGGCAAACGCTCAGTCATGGATGTTTTCTCATCTCTACCCGAGGTCCTTATCTCCTCACACACCATCTGATCCTCAGTGAGCCTTGTGGACCCTGGCTGCTGTTGAGCAGCACTGCCAGCCAGCTGGTGCTGTTGGCTAGCTGCTCGTAGCTTGTCAAGTGCTTTACCTGGCTGGTCACCCAGCGCTCTGAATCTGCGTTTGGGTTTGTCTACATGCTACAGCCTTTCCCTGTAGTTACATGATTCCTCCTCTCAAGATCGTTGTATTTTTATGTACCAGGAAACTGGCTAGCCGTCATGCTAGCAACAGGCAAATCCTGGAGTCTGCTTCCAGCACATTTCCTGCATGTTTTAGATCCTGAACACATCTGATTTGTTTGATCTAACGATGAACCGCTCCTGTAGAAACGAATGACCGAGAAGAAAATTCAGCAGTTATATTAAGGAACGAGGAGGGGATTTTCAGTTTCGGGTTTACAAAGTGGATAAAAACAGACTTTAGGGGGTGCTACAAGCAAGCCAAAACTGTGTGGGATCCCTTTGAGATCCACACTAGAATAAAAAATAAGGATTTTTTTTTTTATTTATCCATTTGGAGCAATGATGAAATAATGTAACATGGCTTAACTTTTTTATAACATTCTCATAGTTTAGAATGGTCCTTGTTCATTAGTTGTGCATTTTTTTAGTTATTGTTCATTTGTCTCACTAGAGAATGAATGTGATGTATGTGATGGTTGACATTTATGGGTTTTTGAATTTAATCAAATTTAAAAAAAAAAAATTTCATGATTTACAAGCACAGACGGTTTATGGAAAACGAATCCATCATCTACCATTAAATGTTGTAATAAAAGGAAATTGGAGACCTATTTTTACTAGTGTAACAACCCGCCATCAGAGCTTTATGTAGCCCTCATTTAAAATAAATCTGAGGGACAGTCTGCTCTGCTCTGCCTCATTTAAAATGCAAGGCATGATTTCCCACCTGTAGCTAAAGCTGTGATCTGCTATAATGTCAGGTATTTTCTATTATTTTTGTTATTAACTGTTGACGGCACCTCTTTAGGAAACCCTTCTAGAAGTTTATGAATTTGGATCATCGCGTCTGCTCGAGAATGGTCTGGAGGCTGCGTGACCAGCTGTTGGTCTTTGTTCTGGGGCATCTTGGGGTGTCTGCTGCTGCTGGGACTGACCCTAACCCACAGAATCCATGTTAGTCCGACATCAGTGCCTGACCTCACATACTGTTTTAGGTTCAGTGCTTCAACTCTCTAGGATGTTCAGGAGCCTGTTTAGAGCAGGTTTCACCGTTTTTAATTATGATTTAAAACTCAATGAAAAGTCAGTGGTGACATCTGGATTTGTTACATTACACTCAGTATAACATTTAGAAGTTCCCATTGTACAAATCTACAAATCTTTTGTGTAATTTAACTGATCTCTGTGTGTCTGAAGCTGTACGATTCTCCCCATTTTAGCTGCTGCTTTGACTTTGTCTCGCCCGTCCTCGCTAATTCCCTTCTCCTTTCCTCCTGCCAAGTGCCTCCACATGTCTCATCAACCTTTATTGGTTATTTCACCTTCATTTGAAGCATGCGAGAGCGGGGGTGGCAATAACCAAACCCATTCTCATGTCAGTGAGCAAGCTGAATTCTGAATTCACTAGCTGTCTTCTTTGTTTTCTCTCTTCTCTTATCTCTCTCCCTTTCTCACACACACACACACACACACACACACACACACACACACACACACACACACACACACACACACACACACACACACAGTTTAGTAGATTTCATCCCGATTGTTTATTTTTTCAGGGTTTTTCACTGTTGATGTTCAATGTCAACAAAATAAAATAAAGCAAAGTAAAAAAGGACATTTGTGAAAAATGCAAGAATGCACATGAAAACATTTGACCACAGATGGAAGGGAGAAAAGAGTGTTTGCATCTCACTGCTTGTCCAACCATTTGGATTGACCAGGTTCCGTCAGCTCCAGGTGACGTTCCTGGTGGTGCCGCTGGAGCAGAGTGGTGGCTCTCCTGTTAAACTTCCTGTTCTCTCCTGTTCACAGGGTCCTATTGAGAACGATGTTGTGATTCACGTGGCCCTGGTTGCTGAGAGCCAGAGGTAATTTCTGTGTGTGTGTGTGTGTGTGTGTGTGTGTGTGTGTGTGTGTGTGTGTGTGTGTGTGTGTGTGTGTGTGTGTAACGTCACAGACCATAAAAAAAGGTTATTTTCCGCTTCTCTCTCCTACTCAGCTCTGTAATTGTGGTGAGCGCAGCCTGACCGCCGTCATCTGTCATTCTCTTTATTGTGGGCTTGTGTGTACATGGACACTGGGTTACAAGTTGGTGTGTGTGTGTGTGTGTGTGTGTGTGTGTGTGTGTGTGTGTGTGTGTGTGTGTGTGTGTGTGTGTGTGTGTGTGTGTGTGTGTGTGTGTGTGTGTGTGTGTGTGTGTGTGTGTGTGTGTGTGTGTGTGGTGGAGGTTGTGTGTGTGCATTTAAAATGGGGTCAAATGAGTCTGTGAGAATCGTCAACCTGTAGCTCCAGTTAACACTTCTGAGAAGGTCCTTATTAGGACTCGTACATCATCATCATCATCTCTGCTACTGTGATTCAATGCAATAAAACCAGATTTGCTGTTAAACGCATCATTTATTTTGCTATACTCTTTAGAAGTATGATACAATAAATGAATAGTGTTACATTAACAGACACCTTAAAACACACATGGAAACCTGGCAGGTCCGTGTAACAAAATCCAATTTGATGGCAGAAACATCCATTTGTCCAGCGTGCAGAGACCTCTGCGTCCTTCCTAGACCCAGGGGGCACGGGGGAGGGGGGGGGGGGGGGGGATAAGCGGTCTGAGGCCACGGATCTTAAACAGGAAAGAGTGGGGACAATCTCTTCCCTTTGCCTCATGCAGAGGAATTGAAGTATCTTGGTGTATTTTTTGTAAGTGATAACTGGATGGACCAACAGGTTCAATCCTCTGTCAGGAAGATGCCGCTTTAGTGAGATAAAGGAGAAAATGAGCTGATGAGAAGAAGAAGAAGAAGAACAAGAAGAAGAAAGTATAATTTCTATAGTGCCTCAAGATAAAAATCACGAGGCGCTTCGCAAAAACAAAAAATGTAAAAATATTTTTAAAAAGCATTTAGAAAATGTTTTAAAATATATATTTAAAATGAGCAAAAATAGACAATTGTGATTTAAAAAATGTTAAGAAAGAGAGAGAGTGACTAGGAAAGAGGGAAATCAGTGGATCCTGAGGAAGGTGGAATAGGCGGGGAGAGCAGAATAAAGAGAGAGAGTGGTGAAGAAGGTCATACAAAAGCCAGCTTGAACAGGTGAGTCTTCAGCTGCTTTTTGAAGGAGACCACTGATCTCAGGCTCAGGGGGAGAGAGTTCCAGAGTCTGGGGGCCACAGCAGCAAATGATCTGTCACCTTTGGTCTTTAGCCTGGTGCTTCACAACCAGTAGGCTTTGATCACTGGACCTCAGGGACCTGCTGGGGGTGTAGGAACTAAGAAGATCACCAATGTAAGATGGTGCTTGTCCATGTAAGGCCCTATAGACCAGAACCAGGATCTTGAAATGAACTCTGAAGTTGACTGGCAGCCAGTGAAGCTGGAGGAGAAGCGGGGTGATGTGGGTGTGTTTGGAGGACTTGGTCATGAGCTCATTTTCTCATCGACCCAATCTAGTCTTCACTTATGGTCACAAGCTTTGGATCATGACCAAAACAAAGAAAACCCTGGAAACTGAAACAAGCTCAGAGCTGCTGCTTCCCTTCAACGCCTTCTTTGGGGGATTTTCTAGACAATAATAGTGACATTTTCCTGGAAGTGTTAACTCAGGACCTGACACTGGAGCAGCAGAAATTCTAATGCATCTGCTCGGGACAACCTTTGAACTATGTCTGTGTTTCTGTGTGTCTGCAGACTGCAAGTTTTCCTAAACACGTATGGAATTCAGACTCAGACGCCCCAGCAGGTCGAGCCCATCCAGATCTGGCCACAGAAGGAACTGGTCAAGGTAAGAGTGGTCAAAGAAGGCCCTACACCTTCTCCTACGGTCTTCTCTGTTCTCACCATGCTACTAGCCTGGCAAGCTATGCTGTATATGTGAATTTATAATCTGGTGGGGGTGGTCATGGGGCAGAACCTATGGGTTTTTTTTTCAAAGCATCCCTGCATGCTATTGGACAGCGCTAGGACCAATCATACAACAAACAACGAGACGTAATCAGTGCTACGGAAATCCATCACCGCGCGGTCCGCATGATGCTGTCGAAGACGAAGAAGAAGCAAACATCCTTTTTCTCCTTAAATGACTGAAGCACCTCTATCTGCTCAAGTCTCAAAGAAAAGCCCAAGTCTAGATCGTTAAAAGTTGACTATAACGAGCGGCGTTCCTGAGCCAGCACCGTGTTTTTAGTGTTTTTCTGTTGCAGCTCTGATGCATCAAATGTAAACCTGAACTGGTCACCTACTTGTGCTTAATCAAATGTCTATAGGGGAAAAGATGGAAAAGATATAGCCATGAGGTTCACTTTTGCCTCAGACCGACTTATTGCTGTTTTATGGTGTGGCTGAATCTGCGATCCGCTGCCACGCGGACTGGAATAACAAATGCTGCAGTAACATGAGTTGTGGTCAGGTTCATGACTGGCTCCACTGGCTGGAGTGGACTCGAATTTCATTCGTCATCCCAAAATAGAAGCTAATATCTTAATTTGACCTTGAATGAAAAATGTTGTTATAAAACCTCTTAAAAGTTTTTATCAAGGAGGAGGCAGCGCTCATTTCTGCCTTCAGTCTGACGGCGTGGCGCGTGTGCTTATTGAAACTGTGTGTGTGTGTGTGTGTGTGTGTGTGTGTGTGTGTGTGCGTGTGCGTGTGCGTGTGCGTGCGTGCGTGCGTGCGTGTGTGTGTGCGCGCGTGTGGCACAGCTCCATGAGCCGCTCCAGTCACCGCGTCTCGTTATTGCCGCTATTTAAACCAACGTTGTAAAATTACTTCTGCCCAGCCCAGATGTGCTCACTTGTGCACCCGTGAGCCGTGGTTCCGCTGGAACGCATCTGACCTCTGACAGACGCGCTCTGAACTTCAGATCTTCAGCGTGCTGTTAACAGCCTGACACGTTTAGAATGCTGTCCCACAGTCAGTGTGCTAATATACTAACATAATAATACTAAAATGCTCAGATGGGAATCATTTCTTGATTTATTTTGTTACATCCACAATGTTCTGTGTGTGAGGTTTACAATGTCAGAACACCTGCATGAGACAGGTGTTAATTACAATCTGCCAGAATGACTCACCACCTTCAGGTTCCTCCAACATCGTTCAAAATGATACGGAACATATCGGCGTGCTGAAGTTCGGCGCATTGTTATTATGAAGCTAGGGCACATGCGGACACAGACACACACACACACACACACACACAAGCAAAATATACTTGTTTTCAATTACATTTATTCGGCCCACTTACTTATTCTTAGGCCCACCCACAAATGAGTTTCTGGCTACGCTAATGGTGACATATAACTGACTTCTCTGAGCTCCGCAGCCATTACACTTTTCACCTCGCGCACCCCCTAGAGGCAACTCACTTAGGGAATCCCTGAATTAGACATGAAAATGAAATATTCAGAAAAAAAGAGGACTATTTAAACCACCAAATAGTTCCAGAATTGCTGTTGGCAATTCTGTAAATAATTCTTGATAGAAAAATTCATGATATCAACCTATTTATTGTATTGCTGTAGTTGTTGTTTTTGCTGGTTGAGAAACATCTAAATGTCGATTCGGTGCACCTGTATAATCTTAGTCTGTGCATCACTCTAACCACTTTGTGTGCAGGAGTCCACACTGGTTCACCCAAAGTACATCCACAAAAGAGTAATCACAGTTTGAAGAAGTAATCACTTGAAACTGTGACTCAGATTTATTGCTCTGATTTGTGACTGGATTGAAATCCTCATCTTTAAAATGCCTCCTCGTATGCCTTTAGGGATGACGAGGAAATCTGAGAGAACAACGTTGTATTAAACGTTGAGAATCCTCTGCTGCGACACCATCTCAGCGTCGCAAATCAGTCCGTCGGTCCGCTCGTTGACTCTTCTGCTGGTATTCGTCAATATCTCAATAGTTCTTGGCTCGGTTCCTGTGCCTTTCAAGCAGACAGTCTAGATTTACCTCTGGGTTGTCCCATCACTCAGCATAGATGCAGAGACAGTGCTGTAACTTATTAGCCAAACAGTGATCGCTCACGTTGATCGATCAGCATAATGGTTAAGCTGTCACTGTGACGAGGCGAAGACGCATAAAGCTGGACGGTTTACAGATAAGTTCTGATGGTTCTGTTAGACGTGAAGTTTACATCCCCTACCTGCATCTGCTATCAGGGTATAAGGAGCTTCATATTTAAGTGCAAAGTAAGAGTGTTGGTCAAAATTTCATTCTAAACACCAAACAATGTGCAATGTTTGGTAAAACTAATAAAACTCAATAAAAAATACTGCAAATGTTCCAGTGCTCTTGATTTGTAAGTGCAGACACATTCAATGAAGCAATTTCAGCCCGTAACGGACTACTATTTTCATCCTTTCTGCTGTGGTTTCATCTTTTGCAGATGACATCATTTGTACTGTCACACCATGACACCGAGCACTGCTTCCCTAGCAGTTCCCACTTCATTCGCTTCACAAGCGTCACTCAAATCCCTGTTTTGTCTGTGGATACTGTCCCTCATCTGCATGTCCGTTGTTTGAAGTCTACCATCTCAATGTCATCTGTCTCTCCTCCGTCACCACCGTCACTCAAGCCCTTGTCTCCTCCCCAGCCATCGTTCCTCATCTGTCATGTCTGTTTTGTAGTGTCTACTCTCCCCACCACTTTCCATAAACAGCCATTTTCTCCTGTCACGTCGTCTCTCTGGGCTCAGCGTTTTTTTCTGAAGATCTTTCTGCTCCTTGTCTCTTCCCTAATATGTCTGGCCCATTATCTTCTCTAACCCCCTTCTCTCCTCCAGGCCTGCATCCTGCCCCGCCCCCGCTATGTATATAGCATCAAACAGCTCACTCTCTGTTGTCTGTCATCTGCCTTTGAACTGTCATACCTGTCACTTACCCCCCCCCCCCCCCCCCCCCCCTCTCCACTGTGTGGCACTCAGCCTCTCCGACTGAATATGGAGCTGTGAGCCAGAGCGGACACTGTGCTGAATATTTAATCTACAGCCCAGACTGTCATTTATTCCTTGACAGATTCTGTTTATCTCGAAGTCACCACCATCTCAGTTGCTGCAGGCTGCGTTTGCTCACCTCACCTCGGCTCTTGCAGCCATTTTATTGTGTTGACAACAGCTGCTTGATGACTGGAGAGTCACAATTACATTTGCAATGGGTTGTTCCCACACGTGTTCCCTGAAAGAACCTTTTCTGTAAGTCGTCCTGAATCTCGTAGACATTTTGGATGTCCCCATTAATGAGGATCGGGAGCTTTGCTGGTTAGCTCCTTATCCTGGACAGGAATGGCCTTTATTCCTTTTATTCATTAACACTTGACCCGTAAAGCTGAGCTCACATCTAGAGGTTTCTGAGGATGTGAAGAACATTCCTCAGTTTGAAACAACAGATTTGCTGTGCCGCCATCTTCAAACGGCTCCATTCCGACCACATTTCTGTTGAGGGGGTTATTCCAACACATTTATCCGTTTTAACCATGATCCTACTCCACTGCTTAATGCTGATGAAATTAACAAGAAAATGCTCTTAAATATCACCAGATTCTTTAACGTCCTCTGTTAAAACAGCTCCAAACTCGTATTATTTAGAGCATTTCATGTAAAAATACTTTTCCCACCATTAAAGCTGTTATGGTACATCCACAGAACAAGCTAGGTTTTGAATGCAAACATGGTCACGGACAGTGTTGTGCCCAAACGCGTTCATTGAAGGATCGTTTGTGAATTTGTTCTTTTTTCTTTGTGTGTGTGAACTGAACTCGTTGGTGTTTTGTCTGATGAACGTAAAAGTGAGTGTGTTCGTCCTGGCGTGCGTGAACGGGTTTGTGAACGCGTTCATTCGCCGTTCTAGCTCCAGATCTCCATGAAGCTTTTCCAGAGCTAAAGCCTAGCTAAAACATCCTGTTAACCATAAAGTTTATAAAAAGTAGAACCCGCAAATGCGGCCTAACATAGGCAGTAGCGGTTGGTGCGCCGTCTACTCTTCTACGTCTAGGCTGTGTGCAGGAGTCAAAGTTCATTCAAAAAAACTGAAGAGGGACTTAATTGAAAGGTTTTTAATTTTTTTATGTTTTGCATGTTTAATATTGCACTTTAAGTTTGCTACCTCAGCCTGCTTCCTAAGATTGTTTAATAATTTCCCGTTAAAATAATTTTTTCCTTATGTTATTGAGAATATACTGTAGGGTCAAAGCTGCAGCTGGGTATGAGTGTGGACTGAACGGGTGCCAAGTATTGGAATTTCTTCAGTTTGTGTGTGTGTGTGTGTGTGTGTGTGTGTGTGTGTGTGTGTGTGTGTGTGCGTGCGTGCGTGCGTGCGTGTGTGTAGGAGAAAAAAGAACTGTGAACTAGTTCGTTTTTGGGACAGTGAACTTAGGTAAACATTTTTTTATTATGAACTAAGAAACAAACTTGTTAGTTTTAAAATGTATGAACTGAACTTTGAACTATCGCTTTCTAAACGAACTTTCCCAACACTGGTCACAGAACACTCACCCCCACCCCCTCGTGTATCTTGTCTGAGACACATCTGTCGAGACCGGAAACCCGCGATGCCAGAGTGAACGAGCTAGCGCTAAACACCAGTCGCCATTTTCTAGGTCCAGACGTCTTTTTTCGTCCGTGACTTCAAAGGGTGTTTTTCTTTTTGGGACTCTGGTAGTTAGTCCTAAAGTTGAAGGGGTAGCAGCTGTTTCTCCTTATCTGATGCTATTGAGAAGAGAACCTCTCACACCAGTGGTCTTCTGTTGCTAAATACGTGAGTGTGTAATGAGTGGAGGACCCAGGGAAGTGTGGTGGTTCAGTGAGACTCACAGCTGGATGGTCCAATGGTTGGTTCCAGACCGAGCCGTGTTATCGGCTGAGGTTTTTACACAAATCCGAGAAAACCACTTCATTAAACGTCTTTGGTGTGGTGTGGTTTTCCAAATATGCCATTGAAGCTTTAACTGAAACCATTCTAAAGAACCACGCTTTAAAGATCTGAACTGGGAGTTTTATTCAAAACACTTTTACTGAGGACTGGAGGAAGTCATTCGTGTCCACTAAAAGTTGGTTAAGAACAGCTTAGAGTTGGTTTTTATTTTAAATTTCCTTCCATCAAGACCCAGAAAGTACTTATTAATGGTTTTTAATACAAAATTATTATTATTATCATTGTTATTGTTATTATTGTTGTTGGAACAGTGTTCATACGCTAATATATCTGACACCCACCAGCAAACATGGTGGCATGATGAAGAAAATAAGAAAAATGAGACACAGCTTGATGAATACCACTGGCATCTTTCACAGTGAAGAAAATTCTCCTCATTAAATCAAACAACAAGGAAATTAAATCTGTTCTCCTAAAAATTTGGGTCAGAATCAGAACCTTCAGAGTAAAAGCGTTTAGCTAAAAATCAGATGAGTTTATTCTATGACTGTGCATGTTGGTCATCAAAAAAAAAAAAAAATATATATATATATATATAAAGATCTGATGTTTCCTAAATCAAATTCACCGATCCAGATCGTTTGTTCCCAAGCTGGCGTGACTCCTGCAGTGGTGTCATAACGTGTTAAGCAGAGAGCTGATCTCTGAAACTGAGCATTTAGTGATTTGAACGGTAACATTAACACTGTCTGAAATTATGGTGTATTCCTCCGTAGAGTCCAAGTTTAGTCAGTAAATAGCTTCGCTTTCCACCCTTCATACCTGCTACACAAGAGTAAAATACAGCTTTTAGCTGTGAATTTGTATTACCTTTTACTGGCTGCCTGGCCGGCTGTTTGTGCTTTGGTCAGTGGAAATGTGACGGGATGAAAGGATGCTTTGATAAGCTGCCGGCTTGTTCATTCATTGGTATTCTGCACACAGGAAGTACTGAATGCAGAGGTTCTCCCTAACCTTCCTGTTTTTCTCCCCCAGCTTGTCTCCGTGTCTGTAAAGGCAGCGGTTTATGAAACAATTTACTTCCGAATTCTCCTAAATCCTCTTATCATTTACATTAATGGAAATGTGACCTTTTCTTCATTTGTGTTATTTTATTTTGTTACTTGGCTTCTTATTTCTTGATCAGCTGTAGCAGGAGGGCTGCACACAGGAGTGGCATAGCGCCACCTCATGGTGGAGGGGATTTGTTGCGGTCGGTTTGCTGGCCTGTATCCTGGAGACTGACTTGTGTGTGGGTGGAGCGCCGCTGCACCATGACAGCACACATTTAAATACATTAGAATTAAGCTGTTAGAACTGAGAAGTTAGGCTGTCAGAAAGCAGCTTTTGATGGTTTCACACTCGTAAAGAAATCAGACCTGTGCTCGGCGACACCGCCTGGTCCTGATCTGACAGAGTGGAGAAATCTAAATTCACTCAGTGGATTTTAAACCTATGTGGAGAACCAGTGAAAAGCTCTAAAAGCAGGTAGCCAGAGTTGCTTTTTTGTTCTGATTGATGAGGAGGTGGTAACGTCTCTGTTCCTGTTCTACTGAACTGTTGATAGAATCAACCTGCTGCGTCCATCAAGTCTCTCCTCCTTATTTTATGTCTGTTTATTCATTTGGGAAAATATACTCCTCTCCATAGTTTGTCAAATGTAATGTTTCAAATAATAAAATTCAAAAAATTGTAATTAAAGACAAAAGAAATATGTTTGTCTCAGAACCTGCAGCAAGTTTAAAAGGTGTCAATAACTTCCAGTAACAAACATCTTGTTTCAAAACTTTTACACCAGTGTTTTATTTAGTTATTTTATTTTATTTTATTTTATTTTTTATTTTTTATTTTTTTTACCATTTTCATTAACCACTAAGAATTGTAGAAGATTTGAAACATTTAAGGTCCAGGTTTGACAAACACACACTGCTGTCCCAGAGGTCTAACTTGGAAATACAATTTAAGAAATGTAGAATGAAAGCAACACACAATGGAGCTACAAATTAGGAATGAGCGATATGGCCTAAAATCTATATTGCGATAAATGTTGAAGCAAATGCAGTAATGATTGTGATATTTGTTTTCTTCTGTTTATACATGTAGAACAAATATTTCTACAAAGTAAAGCATACATTTCAGTATAAATTATTGGTATTAATTACATTTCATTAAAACTTGTTTAAATACATACAAAATATATGAAATTGTTTTTATGTTGAGGTTCTTTTTCCAAACACTGCAACAACAAAAATCATAAAATTTATAAAGATATTTTATGAAGATATTTTAAGTAAAACACAAGCTAAATGTGATGAAAAACCTATATGGTCTGGGCTAAAGTGAAAAACGTAATCACAAATAACACTTTCTTTCAGGTTTCCTGATTCATTTTTCTTCCTTTTATGTTCATAGAAGTTAAGTTTTACTTCAGGAGTGAATAACTGCAGGTAAAATGATGCTCTGCTGCGTTTTTTGTCAATATTATAACATTAATGTTAGATGATTATCCAATTTACCACACTTTTGTTGAGCTGTGCTCACATCATCACTCAGATCAGCTGATCCGTGTTGGTCACCAGCAGCACAGAGCGAGCGAGCGAGGGAGGGGGGAGATGGTTTCAGACTAGATCTTTTTAATTTAATGGGACAAACAGCTAAAACTGTGAAGGTCTCTGAGGGAAAACCAATTTTAACTAAATCACAAGAGATGTCCAAAATGTTTGAAAGCCTTGTGTGTTCATCATGTGGTAAAAAACAAAAAACAAAAAAAAAAACTAACTGCATTCAAGCGATTTGGCGCTGACAAGCTGTTAACGGTGACACAAATTTACTCTCACCCGGCATATTTTACTGAGGAGTTTTTGCTGCTCACCATCCACCTCCAGACCTGGTCCGGGTAGCCGACGTAACCTCACACCCTTCACAAGCACATCTTCTCTCCAGAGCTGACACAGATTGATAATAGTCATGCAAAAGCGGTTGAAGTGCTAAACTGTTGCGCTCCTCGATGACATCATCAGCAAGAACAACTGGTTACCCGGGAGTAAAAAAAATTCTACATCATAGGCCAAAATCACATTGGCTATATCTTTTGCCGTCGTTTAGACCGTCCATCACTGCTACAAATGAATACAAACATAGAAAAGGAACCCAAGTAGGCGTCATGGAGGGATGATGGTTCACGTCCTGGTTTAAC